GTCCACGGACTGGGGGTTGGAGACCACTGTTCTAGAATATTAGAAGTGGAGAAGCCATTCATGTTCCATAATAAGTTCCCAGCTTATCCAAGATCTGTGAAGTTGTACAAACTGCATGAGCCATACAAAGATGATAGACAGGAGGACTTCTCAATATGATAGGCAAAGCGATTGGCATTGACTTGGGCATAAAGCAAATTTTAACAGTTTGAACTATTGATTAATAGGGCTATTTTTGTAGTTTGCTACCCAGTGTTTTTCATTTGGATGAGTTTACAAGTATTGTTAAATAAATAAACATCTAAAACAATCCTAATAGGGTAAGGAAAAGAAAAAGAAGTTTAATTTATTTTTCTCATATGTCTGAAATATTTTAATTATTATTTCCCCCCTAACAGGTTTACAGTAGACCAAACCGGCTTATGTCTGGCATGCCATTGCCCAAAGAAGAAGGGAAGGCTCAAGATAAAGCATCGGTTAAATCTTTACTGGTTGGTTTGAATGAGGCTTTCAAAAGTGTTCCTTCCCAGGTAGAATATTTTAATCGCTTAAAAATATTAGCTGTTTTGTAGAATAAGTTAGACAATATTTTAATTGATTAAAAAAAATCATTTGCAAAGATAAAATATTGCCCCTCTATCTCTCTCCAGATATATAATTAGAGTCACAGTCTTGTGATTTTTTCCCTTTTTATTGATTTTTTTTTTTCAGGCTAGAGGTGCTGAAAAGGAGAATCTGCAGTTTGAGCAAAAACTATACAGAGGTGTTTCAGCCATCTCGTCTTGGCTAGATGGAGTTGAAGAACATTTGTTTGTTGCCACGGCCCTTTTACCTGAAGTGACAGAAACATGCCTTGATAATCAAGAAGTAAGACAATCATTAATCTATGAGTTAAATATGGCCTCTTTTCAGTTACCAGACGAAAAGGCTGTACAAGATATGTTTATTAGCATTAATTGTGGAAGAAGTGATGCAAAAAAAGTCTTTGTGCCTTTATGGCAGAAAAGCACATTTCATTTGCATTAAAGTAAGTCCCTGAAGTGTACTACAATGTTTATGGAGCTAACTTCTGGGTGGATGTGGCAGCCCTCTGCCAATGAAAATTTGTTAGGGAAAAGGTTAGTGCTACTCTTTGCATTCCTAGAAAGTAAATCAGAACAGACCAAGTAATTTCTACAGATATGCACAAAATTGGCTTCTTGGACTGTAGCACACATACAGTGTTTATCCAAAATAAGCCAAAGAATAAGAGGACACTGGTAAAACCACTGCTTGGGAAATAAATGAACAGCCTATGTGAATTCCTTGAAACTGTGATCTATATCCTCAAGAAAGAAATGAGAGTTTGTGATGTTCCTTCTCACCTCTATTTGCCATCAGCTTTTA